ACAGAGGGTAGAGACATTATGCAGTGTAGAAGGACATAACACAGAGGGTAGAGGCATTATGCAGTGTAGAAGGACATAACACAGAGGGTAGCGACATTATGTAGCGTAGAAGGACATAACACAGAGGCCAGAGACATTTTGCAGTGTAGAAGGATATAACAAAGATGGAAGAGACATTATGCAGTGTAGAAGGACATAACACAGAGGGTAGAGGCATTATTCAGTGTAGAAGGACATAACACAGAGGGAAGCGACATTATGTAGCGTAGAAGGACATAACACAGCGGGAAGCGGCATTATGCAGAGTAGAAGGACATAACAAAGAGGGTAGAGAAATTATGTAGTGTAGAAGGACATAGCACAGAGGGTAGAGACATTCTGCAGTGTAGAAGGACATACCACAGAGGGTAGAGGCATTATGCAGTGGAGAAGGACATAACACAGAGGGTAGAGACATTATGCAGAGTAGAAGGACATAACAAAGATGAAAGAGACATTATGCAGTGTAGAAGGACATAACAAAGATGGCTGAGACATTATGCAGTGTAGAAGGACATAACAAAGAGTATAGAGACATTATGCAGAGTAGAAGGACATAACAAAGAGGGTAGAGACATTGTGCAGTGTAGAAGGACATAACAAAAAGGGTAGAGAAATTATGCAGAGTAGAAAGACATAACAAAGAGGGTAGAGACATAATGCAGAGTAGAAGGACATAACAAAGAGGGTAGAGACATTGTGCAGTGTAGAAGGACATAACAAAGAGGGTAGAGACATTAAGCAGAGTAGAAGGACATAACAAAGAGGGTTGTAGTGTAGAAGGACATAACACAGAGGGTAGAGACATTATGCAGTGTAGAAGGACATAACAAAGAGTATGGAGACATTATGCAGAGTAGAAGGACATAACAAATACCCAAAGAGTAGGACATAACACAGAGGGTAGAGGCATTATGTAGTGTAGAAGGACATAACACAGAGGCTAGAGACATTATGTAGTGTAGAAGGACATAACAAAGAGGGTAGAGACATTAAGCAGAGTAGAAGGACATAACAAAGAGGATAGAGACATTATGCAGAGTAGAAGGACATAACACAGAGGGTAGTGACATTATGTAGTGTAGAAGGACATAACAAAGAGGGTAGAGAAATGATGCAGTGTAGAAAGACATAACAAATAGGGTAGAGAAATGATGCAGTGTAGAAGGACATAGCACAGAGGGTAGAGACATTATGTAGTGTAGAAGGACATAACAAAGAGGGTAGAGAAATGATGCAGTGTAGAAGGACATAACAAAGAGGGAAGAGAAATTATGCAGTGTAGAAGGACATAACAAAGAGGGTAGATAAATTATGCAGTGTAGAAGGACATAACAAAGAGGGTAGAGAAATGATGTAGTGTAGAAGGACATAACAAAGAGGGTAGAGACATTATGTAGTGTAGGACATAACACAGAGGGTAGAGACATTATGTAGTGTAGAAGGATATAGCACAGAGGGAAGAGACATTATGTAGTGTAGAAGGATATAGAACAGAGGGTAGAGACATTATGTAGTGTAGACGGACATAGCACAGAGGGTAGAGACATTGTGCAGTGCAGAAGGACATAACAAAGAGGGTAGAGTGTAGAAGGACATAACACAGAGGGTAGAGACATTATGGAGTGTAGAAGGACATAACAACGAGGGTAGAGACATTATGTAGTGTAGTACATAACACAGAGGGTAGAGACATTATGCAGTGTAGATGGACATAACACAGAGGGTAGAGGCATTATGTAGTGTAGAAGGACATAACAAAGAGGGTGGAGAAATGATGTAGTGTAGAAGGACATAACAAAGAGGCTAGAGAAATTATGTAGTGTAGAAGGACATAGCACAAAGGGTAGAGAAATTATGCAGTTTAGAAGGACATAGCACAGAGGGTAGAGACATTATGTAGTGTAGAAGGACATAGCACAAAGGGTAGAGAAATTATGCAGTGTAGAAGGACATAACAAAGACGGTAGAGACATTGTGCAGTGTAGAAGGACATAACAAAGAGGGTAGAGACATTATGCAGAGTAGAAGGACATAACAGTGACTGTGACTGTTTTTGTAGTTTTTGAGTGGCAGTGACTGTTTCTGTGGTTTTTGAGTGACTGTGATTGTTTCTGCAGTTTTTGAGTGGCAGTGACTGTTTCTGTGGTTTTTGAGTGGCAGTGACTGTTTCTGTGGTTTTTAAGTGACAGTGACTGTTTCTGTGGCTTTTGACTGGCTGTGACTGTTTCTGTATTTTTGGATAGGCTGTGACTGTTCCTGTAGTTTTTGAGTGGCAATGACTGTTCCTGTAGTTTTTGAGTGGCTGTAACTGTTTCTGTAGTTTTTGAGTGACTGTGACTGTTTCTGTAGTTTTTGAGTGGCTGTGACTGTTCCTGTATTTTTTGATTGGCTGTGACTGTTCCTGTATTTTTTGATTGGCTGTGACTGTTCCTGTAGTTTTTGAGTGGCTTTTGATTGGCTGACTGTTTATAAGGCTTTTGATTGGCTGTGACTGTTCCTGTAGTTTTTGAGTGGCAATGACTGTTCCTGTAGTTTTTGAGTGGCAATGACTCTTTATGTGGCTTTTGATTGGTTGTGACTGTTCCTGTAGTTTTTGATTGGCTGTGACTGTTCCTGTAGTGCTTGAGTGGCTGTGACTGTTCCTGTAGTTTTTGAATTGCTGTGACTGTTTCAGTAGTTATTGAGTGGCTGTGACTGATTCTGTAGTTTTTGAGTGGCTGTGACTGTTCCTGTAGTTTTTGAGTGGCTGTGACTGTTTCAGTAGTTTTTGATTGGCTGTGACTGTTCCTGTAGTTTTTGACTGGCTGTGACTGTTTCAGTAGTTTTTGAGTGGCTGTGACTGTTCCTGTAGTTTTGAGTGGCTGTGACTGTTCCTGTAGTTTTTGAGTGGCTGTGACTGTGTTGGTAGATGCTGTAAGAACTCAAGATTAACCCCATCAATCACAAAACCATAGCAAACGAAGCCCATTACAATCACTTTGTAACATGAACTGATCTAACACTACTTTGACATGTTAGCCATTGCTCTAGCATCACAGCAGCATGATTACATACTCTTATAGCCTAATATACCATTATGTATCTGTATTGGCAGAGACCCAGATATATCACTGTCTAAAGTTGACATCATCCGAGTCCTTCCTAATCTAAAATTCCTGTAACGTTCACCGTGAACACATTCAATTATTTTGCTGCATTGAAATAACATGTATTTAGATATACATGTATACACTTTATTAATTCCTCCAGATATATACCTGAGGTTGTGTTGAGAGTTGCCATGGGAACAGGTGATGCCTTGGTTCCAGGGAGGGGTACTCTAGCAAACGCCATAGGGGTGAGGAGGACATCTGACCCTTGGGGTAGGGCAGCACTGGCTGACCCCTGCAATTAAATAATTCAATCACGAAATCAAAGATCAATAAATCATAGCGGTTAAGTAGCACAGTAACCATAGGGAAAACCACAGTGCAGTGGGACAGAGAGCCTTAAGGAAGATAAGGGGAGGGTACTGTACACAGGGAAAACCACAGTGCAGTGGGACAGGGATCCTTAAGGAAGTTAAGGGGAGGGTACTGTACACAGGGAGAACCACAGTGCAGTGGGACAGGGAGCCTTAAGGAAGATAAGAAAACCACAGTGCAGTGGGACAGGGAGCCTTAAGGAAGATAAGGGGAGGGAACTGTACATAGGTAAAACCACAGTGCAGTGGGACACGGAGCCTTAAGGAAGTTAAGGGGAGGGTACTGTACATAGGTAAAACCACAGTGCAGTGGGACAGGGAGCCTTAAGGAAGTTAAGGGGAGGGTACTGTACACAGGGAGAACCACAGTGCAGTGGGACAGGGAGCCTTAAGGAAGATAAGTGGACGGTACTGTACACATGGAAAACCACAGTGCAGTGGGACAGGGAGCCTTAAGGAAGATAAGGGGAGGGTACTGTATATAGGTAAAACCACAGTGCAGTGTGACAGGGAGCCTTAAGGAAGATAAGTGGACGGTACTGTACACATGGAAAACCACAGGGCAGTGGGACAGGGAGCCTTAAGGAAGATAAGTGGACGGTACTGTACACATGGAAAACCCCAGTGCAGTGGGACAGGGAGCCTTAAGGAAGTTAAGTGGATGTTACTGTATATAGGTAAAACCACAGTGCAGTGGGACACGGAGCCTTAAGGAAGTTACGGGGAGGGTACTGTACATAGGTAAAACCACAGTGCAGTGGGACAGGGATACTTAAGGAAGATAAGGGGAGGGTACTGTACACAGGGAAAACCACAGTGCAGTGGGACAGGGAGCCTTAAGGAAGATAAGTGGAGGGTACTGTACACAGGGAAAACCACAGTGCAGTGGGACAGGAAGCTTTAAGGAAGTTAAGTGGAGGGAACTGTACACAGGGAAAACCACAGTGCAGTGGGACAGGGAGCCTTAAGGAAGATAAGGGGAGGGTACTGTACACAGGGAAAACCACAGTGCAGTGGTACAGGGAGCCTTAAGGAAGATAAGGGGAGGGTACAGTTCATAAGGAAAACCACAGTGCAGTGGGACAGGGAGCCTTAAGGAAGTTAACTGGAGGGAACTGTACACAGGGAAAACACAGTGCAGTGGGACAGGGAGCCTTAAGGAAGTTAAGTGGATGTTACTGTATATATGTAAAACCACAGTGCAGTGGGACAGGGAGCCTTAAGGAAGATAAGTGGATGGTACTGTACATAGGGAAAACCACAGTGCAGTGGGACAGGGAGCCTTAAGGAAGTTAAGAGGATGTTACTGTATATAGGTAAAACCACAGTGCAGTGGGACAGGGAGCCTCAAGGAAGATAAGGGGAGGGTACTGTACATAGGTAAAACCACAGTGCAGTGGGACAGGGAGACTCAAGGAAGTTAAGGGGAGGGTACTGTATATAGGGAAAACCACAGTGCAGTGGGACAGGGAGCCTTGAATTAAGGAAGTTAAGGGAAGGGTACTGTACATAGGGAAAACCACAGTGCAGTGGGACAGGGAGCCTTAAGGAAGTTAAGTGGATGTTACTGTATATAGGTAAAACCACAGTGCAGTGGGACAGGGATACTTAAAGAAGATAAGTGGAAGGTACTGTACACAGGGAAAACCACAGTGCAGTGGGACAGGGAGCCTTAAGGAAGTTAAGTGGATGTTACTGAATATAGGTAAAACCACAGTGCAGTGGGACAGGAATACTTAAAGAAGATAAGTGGAAGGTACTGTACACAGGGAAAACCACAGTGCAGTGGGACAGGGAGCATTAAGGAAGATAAGTGGACGGTACTGTACATAGGGAAAACCACAGTGCAGTGGGACAGGGAGCCTTGAATTAAGGAAGTTAAGGGAAGGGTACTGTATATAGGGAAAACCACAGTGCAGTGGGACAGGGAGCCTTGAATTAAGGAAGTTAAGGGAAGGGTACTGTATATAGGGAAAACCACAGTACAGTGGGACAGGGAGCCTTAAGGAAGTTAAGTGGATGTTACTGTATATAGGTAAAACCACAGTGCAGTGGGACACGGAGCCTTCAGGAACATATTCTCCTGCTCCACTAAATTTCGTACAGACAGATATCCATGTACCAATTTGTAACTCAGCATATATGTCTTGTGTTATATTCAAATAATTTGTCACATGAAACTTGAATTCATAATTAATGCTCATCATAAAATTTATGTGAAACAAGTGTTACACAAATGTGAAGTAATCTACAGCAATGTGGTTTATTTATTTAGTGTCAATAAGTACACATCAATAAAAACATAACGGGTCCAATAACTGGTGGTCCTACCATAGTTTTTATTAACGCACATCAAAGTTAATATGTGCAAGTGCTAGCGTTAAACTCAAAGATAGCATGTTTACACTTAAACTAGAGATGGTCGATATAGCACCACTACAAAGTAGAGGATGCCTCCGAGTTTCACCAGCAGGACAGAAAGTCAGTACCAGCAGGTTGTTTGTTGGGTGAAAAACGCTAATTAAGTTCTTTTCTTTTGCTTGTTTGTTTTATAATTTTAAAAGTCAAAGAAATTTGTGGAACAAATAGCAGTCTTTTATAACAGCAGAACTAATATAAATTGCATTCAGATGCAAGTGGTGGTAAAGAGCATGGGTTCTTGTCTGGTGTGGAGGATGAGAAAGTTTCTAGCTACATTCTGTAACCTTCAAACACCTAATCTAACAAGCATTACACTTTTACTGATTCAAACAAATCCATCTGACTTGTGTTAGTTTCAAATGCATTTTCCCTAAATATTGAAGTCATAAAACATAAAACAGATCTTGGTATTGAATAATTCATAGGTATTTTTTTTATCAATCTATTTGGCTGCAGATTAGAGGCCTGCAGTATAACTGATCATTTAGCACTAGGTGATGAACATAACACATGTCTAAGTTTACATCTAAGTGATGGGCCTTTTGCAAAATGTTACATCACTGTCGGAGCTAGTTATGTTTTTGTCACAGCAGCTTCTGTTCTCTGGGTGTAAACAACACAGCTATCACTGTGTAAATAAACAGTCGATCTATCACATTCCTTAGTGCACAACACAAATCAGTCACACAACGTCACTCAGTCCACAACACAAATTCAGTCACACAATGTCACTCAGTCCAAAACACAAATTAAGTCACACAATGTCACTCAGTCCAAAACGCAAATCAGTCACACAATGTCACTCATTCCAAAACACAAATCAGTCACACAAGGTCACTCAGTCCAAAACACAAATTAAGTCACCCAATGTCACTCAGTCCAAAACCCAAATCAGTCACACAATGTCACTCAGTCCACAACACAAATTAAGTCACACAATGTCACTCAGGCCAAAACACAAAGCAGTCCCACAATGTCACTCAGTCCAAAACATAAATCAGTCACCCAATGTCACTCAGTCCAAAACCCAAATCAGTCACACAATGTCACTCAGACACAGGCAGTCAGTTACATGGTCACTCAGACACAGGCAGTCAGTTACACAATGTCACACAGACACAGGCATTCAGTCATACACTGTCACAAAGCCACAGCCAGTCAGTCACACAATGTCACAAAGACACAGGCAGTCAGTCACACAATGTCACTCAGGCACACAATGTCACACAGACACAGACAGTCAGTCATACAATGTCACTCAGACAGAGGCAGTCAGTCACACAACACAAATTCAGTCACACAATGTCCCTCAGTCCAAACCACAAATTAAGTCACACAATGTCACTAAGTCCAAAACACAAATCAGTCACTCAATGTCACTCAGTCCCAAACACAAATCAGTCACACAATGACACTCAGTCCAAAACACAAATCAGTCACACAATGTCATTCAGTCCACAACACAAAACAGTCACACAATGTCACTCAGTCAGAGGCAGTCAGTCACACAATGTCACTCAGTCACACAATGTCACACAGACACAGGCAGTCAGTCACAGAATGTCACACAGACACAGGCAGTCAGTCACACAATGTCACACAGACACAGGCAACCAGTAACACAATGTCACAGGCAGTCAGTCACACAATGTCACACAGACACAGGCAGTCAGTCACACAATGTCAAACAGACACAGGCAGTAGGTCACACAATGTCACTCAGTCCACAACACAAATCAGTCACACAATGTCACACAGACACAGGCAGTCAGTAACACAATGTCACTCAGTCACAGGCAGTCAGTCACATGGTCACTCAGTCACACAATGTCACACAGACACAGGCAGTCAGTCACACAATGACACACAGACACAGGCAGACAGTCACATGGTCACTCAGTCACACAATGTCACACAGACACAGGCACTCAGTCACACAATGTCAAACAGACACAGGCAGTCAGTCACACAATGTCAAACAGACACAGGCAGTCAGTCACACAATGTCATACAGACACAGGCAGTCAGTAACACAATGTCACCGGCAGTGAGTCACACAATGTCACACAGACACAGGCAGTAGGTCACACAATGACACTCAGTCTACAACACAAATCAGTCACACAATGTCAAACAGACACAGGCAGTCAGTCACACAATGTCACACATTCACAGGCAGTCAGTCACACAATGTCACTCAGTCCAAAACACAAATCAGTCACACAATGTCATTCAGTCCACAACACAAAACAGTCACACAATGTCACTCAGTCAGAGGCAGTCAGTCACACAATGTCACTCAGACACAGGCAGTCAGTCACACAATGTCAGACAGACACAGGCAGTCAGTAACACAATGTCACCGGCAGTGAGTCACACAATGTCACACAGACACAGGCAGTAAGTCACACAATGTCACACATTCACAGGCAGTCAGTCACACAATGTCACTCAGACACAGGCAGTCAGTCACACAATGTCTCACAGACACAGGCAGTCAGTAACACAATGTCACAGGCAGTCAATCACACAATGTCACACAGACACAGGCAGTCAGTCAAACAATGTCACAGACATAGGCAGTAGGTCACACAATGTCACTCAGTCCACAGCACAAATCAGTCACACAATGTCACACAGACACAGGCAATCAGTAACACAATGTCACAGGCAGTCAGTCACACAATGTCACACAGACACAGGCAGTCAGTCACATGGTCACTCAGACACAGGCAGTCAGTTACATGGTCACTCAGACACAGAGACACAGGCAGTCAGTCACACAATGTCACACAGACACAGGCAGTAGGTCACACAATGACACTCAGTCTACAACACAAATCAGTCACACAATGTCAAACAGACACAGGCAGTCAGTCACACAATGTCACTCAGACACAGGCAGTCAGTCACACAGACACAGGCAGTCGGTCACACAATGACACTCAGTCTACAACACAAATCAGTCACACAATGTCACACATTCACAGGCAGTCAGTCACACAATGTCACTCAGTCACAGGCAGTCAGTCACACAATGTCACTCAGTCACACAATGTCACACAGCCACAGGCAGTCAGTCACACAATGTCACACAGACACAGGTAGTCAGTCACACAATGTCACACAGACACAGGCAGGCAGTCATACAATGTCACTCAGACACAGGCAGACAGCCACACAATGTCACACAGACACAGGCAGTCAGTCATACAATGTCACTCAGACAGAGGCAGTCAGTCACACAATGTCACTCAGACACAGGTAGTCAGTCACACAATGTCACACAGACAAAGGCAGTCAGTCACACAATGTCACACAGACACAGGCAGTCAGTCACACAATGTCACACAGACACAGGCAGTCCGTCACATGGTCAGCCAGACACAGGCAGTCAATCACATGGTCACTCAGACACAGGCAGTCAGTCACACAATGACACACAGACACAGGCAGTCCGTCACACGGTCAGCCAGACACAGGCAGTCAGTCAGACACAGGCAGTCAGTCAGACACAGGCAGACAGTCATACAATGTCACTCAGACAGAGGCAGTTAGTCACACAATGTCACTCAGACAAAGGTAGTCAGTCACAAAATGTCACTCAGACACAGGTAGTCAGTCATACAATGTCACACAGACAAAGGCAGTCAGTCACACACTGTCCCACAGACACAGGCAGTCAGTCAGACACAGGCAGTCAGTCAGACACAGGCACTCAGTTACATGGTCACTCAGAAACAGGCAGTCAGTTACATGGTCCCTCAGACACAGGCAGTCAATCACATCACAGGCAGTCAGTCACATGGTCACTCAGACAAAGGCAACCAGTCACATGATTACTCAGACAGTAACACAATGTCACAGGCAGTCAATCACACAATGCCACACAGACACAGGCAGTCCGTCACATGGTTAGCCAGACACAGGCAGTCAGTTACAGGGTCACTCAGACACAGGCACTCAATCACATGGACACTCAGACACAGGCAGTCTATCACATGGTCACTCAGACAGGCAGTCAGTCACAGAATGTCACACAGACAAAGGAAGTCAGTCACACGATGTCACACAGACACAGGCAGTCCGTCACATGGTTAGCCAGACACAGGCAGTCAGTTACACAATGTCACACAGACACCGGCAGTCCGTCACATGGTCAGTCAGACACAGGCAGTCAAACACATGGTCACTCAGACCCAGGCAGTCAATCACATGGTCCCTCAGACACAGGCAGTCAATAACATGGTCACTCAGACACATCCATTCAGACACATGGTCAGTCAGACACAGGCAGTCAATCTCATGGTCACTCAGACACAGGAAGTCAGTTACATGGTCACTCAGAAACAGGCAGTCAGTTACATGGTCACTCAGACACAACCATTCAGACACATGGTCAGTCAGACACAGACAGTCAGTCACATGGCCACCAACACAGACAGTCAGTCACATGGCCACTCAGACACAAGGTCACTCAGACAAAGGCAACCAGTCACATGATTACTCAGACACAGGCAGTCAATCACATGGTCACCCAGACACAGGCAGTCAGTCACACCTATCTCCCAGTGTAACACAACATATTCTACACAAAGAACAGTATGGTATGATGTATCTGGTGTAACCCCTTCCCTTTTTCTTGTGTAGACATACCACATCTGATAGTGATGGGATACCCGATGCCATCTGTTCTAATGCTGCAGGAGTTAATAGATCACTTCCAAGATGAATCTGAGCAGGATCTGGTTCAGCAGAATGTTTGATCCCTGGTGACACTGATTTTGCTTGTCTATGTGTGGCCTTAGACCCACTAGATAACAGTTGTTGGATGACGTCAACAGACTGCGTATCCCCACCCCCCTGGTATATGTCCATGAGATCACTTCTCCCCCCTCGTGGGGACTTTTTGCCCTCCCCTCCATGGGGTTTTGAGCGCTTTGCCTCGCCCTTGCCACCTTGGGCTTTTCTGGAGATTTTGGGGTCCTCAGCCACATTGGACAACTGGCTTAAGTCAGACCCCGCAGGGTCCACCCACTGTTGACGTTCAATATCCTCCACCATGGAGCTTGATGACATGATCTGGCGCAGCAGGGGCGGAAAGTTATCCTCCGACGATGGCTGACTAGTCATGTGACGCTCTGCATCGGTCACTGACATTGACCTGGTATAAAATAATCCTATATTTAGGAAGCATCTATTTTCCATAAAAGCCACACAATTAAAAGTCAAGAAAAGTATAAATTACTTTATGTTCCTCTTAAAATTCATTTGTCAAAATTACAGGTTTTGGGGATGTTCTTAGAAATAACCAAAATGCTTTGAGGAGGTTGTCAACTGAACACCATTGGAAATGTCAACATAATTTACCTGAGGAACTATGTTTTTAGGATTTAGTCAGAATAAAATGTGAAAGTGATACAGTTTGGAAAATTGGTCAGAAGTTGCTTGTGGAAATAACACCTTTGAGGACAATTCACAAACTTCCATGTGGAACTGAGGTGTCTTGTGGATGTCGTCAGAATATATGTATGAAAATGAAATTTACACGTGAAATGCAGATGTTCAAGGGGAAGTTGCCTAAATTTACCTTTGGGAATGACATATTTTGGGGATGTTGTCAAAATTGATATGTGAAAATTAAATAAGATGGTTTAGAAATATCCTAAAAACTTACCTGTGGAACCCTGATGTTTTAGGGATGTTCGGCATTTCCGCCTGCTGAGTCTGCTGCAGACTTGCAGTTCTAAATAACGTCTCTAGAGTGAGGGTGGCTGTGGGTGTGGTCGCAGGCTGGCTTTGATCTGTCAATGGTGAATATTAACTAATTAAACACCTGATAAACATTCAATAATTGATGAATTTTCAGTATTTTTACCAGTAATTAAAGACAGCTACTCATGAAATAAAAAGATATTCTAATACGTAAGGATCCTAGAACCACTGCCAACAGCTGTAACCAAGTATTGTGTTTTCCAGCCTGACTACAGGTTTGATAGATCACTAACCCCGAGCTTCATACTGCTGAACCATCGCTCTAACCCACTGAGATACCTGGTTGACAGAAGTGTCCTAACCCACTGAGATACCTGGTTGACAGAAGTGTCCTGGCCCCATTGTTCTACAGTTATATCCAACCGGAAGGGGGAAATTAATGTTTCTAGGAAAAAAACAGTGCAGTGGGACAGGGATCCTTAAGTGGTTACTATTATACCCAATGGTGTTGTGGTTCTATACCATGGGACAGGGATCCTTAAGTGGTTACTATTATACCTAATTGTGTTGTGGTTCTATACCATGGGACAGGGTTCCTTAAGTGGTCACTATTATACCTAATAGTGTTGTGGTTCTATACCATGGGACAGGGATCCTTAAGTGGTCACTATTATACCAATGGTGTTGTGGTTCTATACCATGGGAAAGGGATCCTTAAGTGGTCACTATTATACCCAATGGTGTTGTGGTTCTATATCATGGGACAGGGATCCTTAAGTGGTTACTATTATACCTAATGGTGTTGTGGTTCTATACCATGGGACAGGGATCCTTAAGTGGTCATTATTATACCCAATGGTGTTGTGGGTCTATCCCATGGGACAGGGATCCTTAAGTGGTCACTATTATACCTAATGGTGTTGTGGTTCTATACCATGGGACAGGTTCCCTAAGTGGTTACTATTATACCCAATGGTGTTGTGGGTCTATACCATGGGACAGGGATCCTTAAGTGGTCACTATTATACCAATGGTGTTGTTGTTCTATACCATGGGAAAGGGATCCTTAAGTGGTCACTATTATACCCAATGGAGTTGTGGTTCTATACTATGGGACAGGGATCTTTAAGTTGTCACTATTATACCCTATGGTGTTGAGGTTCTATACTATGGGACAGGGATCTTTAAGTGTCACTTTTATACCCTATGGTGTTGTGGTTCTATTCTATGGGACAGGGATCTTTAAGTTGTCACTATTATTCCCTATGGTGTTGTGGTTCTATACTATGGGACAGGGATCCTTAAGTGGTCATTATTATACCCAATGGTGTTGTGCTTCTATACCATGGGACAGGGATCCTTAAGTGGTCACTATTATACCTAATGGTGTTGTGGTTCTATACCATGGGACAGGTTCCTTAAGTGGTTACTATTATACCCAATGGTGTTGTGGTTCTATACCATAGGACAGGGATCCTTAAGTGGTTACTATTATACATAATGGTGTTGTGGTTCTATATCATGCATTACTAATGCAGACAAACTTAATAGAGCCTTGTAAAACTTTACCATAGCTTATCAGCAATTACCAAACACAATACAGGACCACAATGGTTGTTTTTTTGTTTTTTTACCTGTATCTTCCTCTTCCATTGCTGCCCCAGGAATCTTGAGGGGTTTTGGTTTGATGAGGTTTGAGGCCTTGGTGGCTGATGCGTTAGGATTGTCAATAAATGGCTTGGGATCCACTCCTGGAACTTTGCACTAGAAATAGTCAGTGTTAAATGATATCAATATTGTTTCAATTTGCTTGGACCATAAAGCTGGAACGAACATGTATCATATATAGATCTCATAACTGTGTCATCTGTGAATCTGTCCATAAATTTCCCCCATGTATACATGTAGTTATGAACTAACAAATGTGATGTCCAAGCACAGATAAAAGGATTGATTCGAGATGAATATTTTTATATGATTTGTCAACAAATTTGTACTTTCTGCAAATTCTTGGCGGTTTAATTAAAAATACAACACATTAAAAGCTGTGGATAGAGACTATAGGACAGGGTAGCAGCTGTGGATAGACTGTGGGACAGGGTAGCAGCTGTGGATAGAGACTCTAGGACAGGGTAGAAGCTGTGGATAGAGACTATGGGACAGGGTAGCAGCTGTGGATAGAGACTATAGGACAGGGTAGCAGCTGTGGATAGACTGTGGGACAAGGTAGCAGCTATGGATAGAGATTATAGGACAGGGTAGCAGCTGTGGATAGAGACTATAGGACAGGGTAGCAGCTGTGGATAGAGACTATAGGACAGGGGAGCAGCTGTGGATAGACTGTGGGACAAGGGAGCAGCTATGGATAGAGATTATAGGACAGGGTAGAAGCTGTGGATAGAGACTATGGGACAAGGTAGCAGCTGTGGATAGAGACTATAGGACAGGGTAGCAGCTGTGGAGAGAGACTATGGGACAAGGTAGCAGCTGTGGATAGACTGTGGGACAGGGTAGAACCTGTAGATAGAGACTATGGGTCAAGGTAGCAGCTATGGATAGAGACTGTGGGACAGGGTAGAACCTGTAGATAGAGACTATAGGACAGGGTAGAAGCTGTGGATAGACTGTGGGACAGGGTAGAAGCTGTGGTTAGAGACTGTGGGACAGGGTAGAACCTGTAGATAGAGAGTATAGGACAGGGTAGAAGCTGTGGATAGACTGTGGGACAAGGTAGCAGCTGTGGATAGAGGCTGTGGGACAAGGTAGCAGCTGTGGATAGAGACTGTGGGACAGGGTAGAAGCTGTGGATAGACTGTGGGACAGGGTAGCAGCTGTGGATAGAGACTGTGGGACAAGGTAGCAGCTGAGGATAGAGACTGTGGGACAGGGTAGAAGCTGTGGATAGGGGCAGCAGCTATGGAAAGAGACTATAGGACAGGGTAGCAGCTATGGATAGAGGCTGTGGGACAGGGTAGAACCTGTAGATAGAGACTGTGGGACAGGGTAGCAGCTATGGATAGAGACTGCGGGACAGGGTAGCAGCTATGGATAGAGACTATAGGACAGGGTAGCAGCTATGGAAAGAGACTATAGGACAGGGTAGCAGCTGTGGATAGAGACTGTGGGACAAGGTAGCAGCTATGGATAGAGACTGTGGGACAAGGTAGAAGCTGTGGATAGAGACTGTGGGACAGGGTAGCAGCTATGGATAGAGACTGTGGGACAAGGTAGAAGCTGTGGATAGAGACTGTGGGACAGGGCAGCAGCTATGGATAGAGACTGCGGGACAGGGGAGCAGCTATGGATAGAGACTATAGGACAGGGTAGCAGCTGTGGATAGAGACTGTGGGACAGGGTAGAACATGTAGATAGAGACTATGGAACAAGGTAGCAGCTGTGGATAGAGACTGTGGGACAGGGTAGCAGCTGTGGATAGAGGCTGTTTGACAGGGTAGCAGCTGAGGATAGAGACTGTGGGACAGGGTAGCAGCTATGGATAGAGACTATGGGACAGGGTAGCAGCTGTGGATAGAGACTGTGGGACAGGGTAGAAGCTGTGGATAGAGACTATATAGAGACTGTGGGACAGGGTAGCAGCTGTGGATAGAGACTGCGGGACAGGGTAGAACATGTAGATAGAGACTATGGGACAAGGTAGCAGCTATGGATAGAGACTATAGGACAGGGTAGAAGTTGTGAATAGAGACTGTGGGACAGGGTAGCAGCTGTGGATAGAGACTATGGGACAGGGTAGAACCTGTAGATAGAGACTGTGGGGCAGGGTAGAAGCTGTGGATAGAGACTATGGGACAAGCTATGGATAGAGACTGTGGGACAGGGTAGAACCCGTAGATAGAGACTGTGGGGCAGGGTAGAACATGTGGAAAGAGACTTGGGACAGGGTAGAACATGCGGATAGAGACTGTGGGACAGGGTAGAACATGTGGATAGAGACTGTGGGACAGGGTAGAACATGTGGATAGAGACTGTGGGACAGGGTAGCAGCTGTGGCTAGAGACTATGGGACAGGGTAGAACCTGAAGATAGAGACTGTGGGACAGGGTAGAACCCGTAGATAGAGACTGTGGGGCAGGGTAGAACATGTGGAAAGAGACTTGGGACAGGGTAGAACATGCGGATAGAGACTGTGGGACAGGGTAGAACCCGTAGATAGAGACTGTGGGGCAGGGTAGAACATGTGGAAAGAGACTTGGGACAGGGTAGAACATGCGGATAGACAGTGGGACAAGGTAGAAGCTGTGGATAGAGGCTGTAAGGGAGCAGCTATGGATAGAGACTGTGGGACAGGGTAGCAGCTGTGGCTAGAGACTATGGGACAGGGTAGAACCTGAAGATAGAGACTGTGGGACAGGGTAGAAGATAGAGACTATAGGACAGGGTAGCAGCTATGAATAGAGACTATGGGACAGGGTAGCAGCTATGGATAGAGACTATGGGACAGGGGAGCAGCTGTGGATAGAGACTATGGGACAGGGTAGAATCTGTAGATAGAGACTGTGGGACAGGGTAGAACATGTGGATAGAGACTGTGGGACAGGGTAGAGCCTGTGGATAGAGACTGTGGGACAGGGAAGAAGTAGAACCTGTGGATAGAGACTGTGGGGCAGGGTAGAAGCTGTGGATAGACTGTGGGACAGGGAAGAACCTGTAGATAGAGACTGTGGGGCAGGGTAGAAGCTGTGGATAGACTGTGGGACAGGGAAGAACCTGTAGATAGAGGAGACTGTGGGACAGGGTAGAACCTGTGGATAGTGGATAGAGACTATAGGACAGGGTAGAAGCTGTGGATAGACTGTGGGACAGGGTAGAACCTGTAGATAGAAACTGTGGGACAGGGTAGAACCTGTAGATAGAGACTGTGGGACAGGGTAGAAGCTGTGGATAGACTGTGGGACAGGGTAGAACCTGTGGATAGAGGCTGTGGGACAGGGTAGAACCTGTGGATAGAGGCTGTGGAACAGAGAAGAAGCTGTGGATAGAGGCTGTGGGACAGGGTAGAAGCTCTGGTTAGAGACAGTGGGACAGGGTAGAAGCTGCGGTTAAAGACTGTGGGACAGGGTAGAACCTGGGGTTAGAGACTGTTGGACAGGGTAGAAGATGCGAATAGAGTCTGTGGGACAGAGAAGAAGCTGTGGATAGAGACTGTGGGTAAGGGTAGAAGCTGTGGATAGAGACTGTGGGACAGGGAAGATCATGTAGATAGAGACTGTGGGACAGGGTAGAAGCTGTGGATAGAGACTATGGGACAAGGTAGCAGCTATGGATAGAGACTATAGGACAGGGTAGAAGCTGTGAATAGACAGTGGGACAGGGTAGAAGCTGTGGATAGAGGCTGTGGGACAGGGTAGAACCTGTAGATAGAGACTATGGGACAAGGTAGCAGCTATGGATAGAGACTATATGACAGGGTAGAAGCTGTGGATAGACTGTGGGACAGGGTAGAAGCTGTGGATAGAAACAGTGGGACAGGGTAGAACCTGTAGATAGAGACTGTGGGACAGGGTAGAAGCTGTGGATAGAGGCTGTGGGACAGGGTAGAAGCTGTGGATAGACTGTGGGACAGGGTAGAACCTGTGGATAGAGGCTATGGGACAGGGTAGAACCTGTGGATAGAGGCTGTGGAACAGAGAAGAAGCTGTGGATAGAGACTGTGGGACAGGGTAGAAGCTGTGGTTAGAGACAATGGGACAGGGTAGAAGCTGCGGTTAGAGACTGTGTGACAGGGTAGAACCTGGGGTTAGAGACTGTTGGACAGGGTAGAAGATGCGAATAGAGGCTGTGGGACAGAGAAGAAGCTGTGGATAGAGACTGTGGGACAGGGAAGAACATGTAGATAGAGACTGTGGGACAGGGTAGAACCTGTGGTTAGAGACAGTGGGACAGGGTAGAAGCTGCGGTCAGAGACCGTGGGTAAGGGTAGAAGCTGTGGTTAGAGACTGTGGGACAGGGTAGAAGCTGTGGTTAGAGACTGTGGGACAGGGAAGAACCTGTAGATAGAGACTGTGGGACAGGGTAGAACATTTGGATAGAGACTGTGGGACAGGGTAGAACATGTGGATAGAGACTGTGGGACAGGGAAGAAGCTGTGGATAGAGACTGTGGAACAGGATAGAACCTGTAGATAGAGACTGTGGGGCAGGGTAGAACATGTGGAAAGAGACTTGGGACAGGGTAGAACATGCGGATAGAGACTGTGGGACAGGGTAGAACATGTGGAAAGAGACTGTGGGACAGGGAAGAAGCTGTGGATAGAGACTGTGGGACAGGTTAGAACCTGTGGAAAGAAGCTGTTGATGGAAGCTGTGCGTAGAAATTGAGGATTAAAGCTGAAGGTGGAAGTTTTTAGTAGAATGTGCGATATAGATGTTGATGGAAACTGTGGTTGAAAGCTGTGCGTAGAAATTAAGGGTAGAATTTGTACACAAAAAAAAAGTGAATTGCTCACCTTGTCATATTCATGCTGTGCCTTGGACAAGAGCTGCATTATGTCCACATTTTTGTTACCCATGACGAGGGCAGGAATTATGGGTCGGTCAGCCTTTGGAGAAGTTGTGTTCCTGGCTCCACTCTTAGCCTTCTGGCTATCAATCACCTGCTGCAGGAAGCTGTAAAAGGCATTTTTTATAAGGGAATGATTCATATAGGGGAGATAATTATGGTTATGACAAAACTGAGATAGCTCAGGACAATCCTCAGGCAGAGTTGACCAAGTAATGTCCAGGATCACCTGAGTTGATCTTAACCAAATTTTAAGATGTCACTGAAATATTTATCATAAAAAAATACATTTTATACTAGGAGCTTCATCCTAAGCTGTAACACATTTTCTAATTTGCACAATAATTCTATAATTCAATGTATACAGGGGTTTTATTTGCAGTAGTTTTATTTTTAAAATGACTTATGGAAACTACAATTTAAAAAAAAACATAGCCCAAACTTAACATTTTCTAGCATATATATGTGAAAATATTACTGATGAATATTAAAAGCTGTATACAGTAATTAATGACAATATAATTTATGACTTAAGCTCCAGAATATCATACCCTACTTATCTTCCACCATAAAATTATCACAACTCTATAATCGAACAAGTACAATAATGTAAGATGATAAAGGGGGATAATTCTAAAATCTGGTACAGTACTTGTTTACGAAAGTGAAGGGCTATCATAAAAGGAAGGGTCAATTCGCTTAAATGATAAACTAATAAATTATTTAGCATTAAATAACAAACAGGTTGTTGGATACCTGTATAGTGTAGGTGTTAAATCAAGGGAGGTCACTATGAAATCCTCAATTCTTACATCTTACTTTCATGGATAGCTTCATTATGTTATTTTTCCAGGAGCTAATACTGACAGTACTCATTTGTGCAATGCAATTTAAGTTTCTATATTTTCTGTTTAATCTAAGAAAAAGTCGTTGTTCTGCTGTTTATATGTTAAAGCATGTAATCCAAAAATTTGGTTACAGAAGAACTCTTACAGAAATGTATATTTGGTTACAGAAGAACTCTTACAAAAATGTATATTTGGTTACAGAAGAACTCTTACAAAAATGTATATTTGGTTACAGAAGAACTCTCACAGAAATGTATATTTGGTTACAGAAGAACTCTTATAGAAATGTATATTTGGTTACAGAAGAACTCTTACAGAAATGTATATTTGGTTACAGAAGAACTCTTACAGAAATGTGTATTCGGTTACAGAAGAACTCTTACAGAAATGTATATTTGGTTACAGAAGAACTCTTACAGAAATGTATATTTGGTTACAGAAGAACTCTTACAGAAATGTGTATTTGGTTACAGAAGAACTCTTATAGAAATGTATATTTGTTGTCATATGAAATATATATTGAAATGAAAACCAACTTTTTTCAGCGAAATTTTGGTCAATAACTGCCATGCCAGCATTAAAGTAGTGAAGCCTGTTTGATAACTAACAAACATTGTACTCTTGTTTTATAATCTTAACTGGAGGCTGCTCAGTGCATTCTACTTGGTCGGATTTATAGGCCTGTTTACACTACCTGTTCATCAGCTGACCAATCCGAGTGCATTCTTCTTTGTCATAAAACCAGATCCCATATATAGCTGGAAGAGTAAAAAACGAATATTTATCACTTAAACAAGAATAAACAAAATGTAATAACTCCAACAGGACTCGTAAATCTAGATTTATTGGTCAAATTAAATTCCTTATTAAACCCCTTCCCCTCATCACTGCTAGTGTAATTAAACTTGATCTGTTTATTTCCTACTGAACCTTGACCCCTTATTACTCCTGGTATGAACCTTGACCACTCATTACTACTGATGTGAACCTTGACCCCTTATTACTCCTGATATGAACCTTGACCCCTTATTTCTAATGATGTGAACCTTAGTTGACCCCTCATTTCTAATGAAGTGAACCTTGACCCCTCATTCCTAATGAAGGGTAACCTTGACCCTTGAATCCTCCGGATGTGAATTTTGACCCCTTATTCCTCCTGATATGAACCTTGACCCCTCATTCCTACTGATTACCTTGACCCACTAGTTCTTGCTGATGTAAATCTTGACCACTCTAATCTCCTGAAGTAAGACCTCTTATCCCTGCTGACGTATCTTTGACACCTAATACCTGCTGATGTAAACCTTGACCGCTCTAACCTCCTGAAGTAAGACCCCTTCTCCCTGCTGACGCATCTTTGAGACCTAATACCTGCTGATGTTAACCTTGACCGCTCTAACCTCCTGAAGTAAGACCCCTTATCCCTGCTGACTTATCTTTGACCTCTGATACTTTCTGATGTAAACCTTGACCTCTCTAACCTCCTGAAGTAAGACCCATTATCCCTGCTGACATAACTTTGACCTCTAATACCTGCTGATGTAATCCTTGACCCTTCAGTTCTCTTGATGTAAACCCTGGCCCCCACAATCTTAGGGATGTAACCTTGACCTGTTTTTCTACTGATGTATCTTTGACCTTTATTCCTGCTGACATAATATGCTGGCCCTCAATCCTGGTGATGATAACTGGACCCTTCAAAATCTAACTGGTATCTCTAAAATTTAGTTGAATTAAGTTTCTCCTTTCCTTTTTGTGTCTGATGAACTTTCTTCAAACTTAAACGTAATTAAAATCCTGATTGAATAGTGTCTTTCACCCCTGATTTGAGTTATGTGATTTATAGAAAGAGCGTTCTATAGAAGCTGGCAGGGGGTAGGACAAAACCCCAACTTCTAGTACACGCCACCCAAATAATGCCAAAACTCTGGTGGTTTTTGTAGACTTTACAACGCTGTCAACATTTATAGGTACACCAGATCAGTCCCGGGCATTATGTAATACTGCCAGCTCGGCTGACTGGGGAAAGTTAATGCTGCAATCAGCTGGATACACATCTCCAAACCATCATCATCAGAGCCCCTCTAATGAGGAGGTGCTACCCATGCTCACTGGCGCTGTACCAGATAAAACATATTACCATGCCTTGTTGTCCTTCGATTAACATCCACAAACACGTGTAAAGATGCAGAAGTGTAAAAAATATCAGGGAATGTGAAAACAACCTGTCAATGGAGATAAAAACATGGTAATGCAGGAAAAACATTAAAACAATTTTCCTATGCTGAGGACTTATCTTTCAAGGTTAATTTATCCCACAGATCATAATCTAGATGAGATCCAGCAACTCAGACTCAGTATCAGTTTAGTCAACATTATAGATCTAACATTTCTACACCTAGTCGCCACAGAACATAGTCTAATTGAGATCCAACTCAAGACTCCATACCACAGTTTTTACACCTGCACTCCACAGATCATAGTCTAGATGAGATCCAGCAACTCAGACTCCATATCACAGTTTAGTCAACATTATAGATCTAACATTTCTACATCTAGACTCCACAGATGGGTAAGGCGTCTGACATTCTGCTACCACTAGCCCTCCATCTATGTGTCGCAGGTTCGAGGCCCACGTTGGGCAGTCACCAGTTACTGGCCATAGATCACTGGTTTTTTTATCCGGGAACTTTGGCTTTCCTCCATCACCAAATTCTGGCAGTCCTCAAATGACCACAACTGTTAATAGGATGTATTATGACTCCACAGATCACAGTCCAGATGAGATCATTACAGTTAAGTCAACATTATAGATCTAACATTTCTACACCCACACTCCACAGATCATAGTCTAGATGAGATCATTACAGTTTAGTCAACATTATAGATCTAACATTTCTACACCCAGACTCCACAGATCATCGTCTAGATGAGATCATTACAGTTTAGTCAACATTATAGATCTAACATTTCTACAACTAGACTCCACAGATCATAGTCTAGATCAGATCATTACAGTTAAGTCAACATTATAGATCTCGATCACATTTCCACTTCAAGACTCCCCGCACAGGATATTGTCTAAATGAGACATTTTTTCTTTCTTTTCAACCTACCTTTTACTACCAAGCCTAGTAAGTCTTGTATCAGCTTAGGGCCTGCTATGGCAAGTCTTGTATCATCTAATGGCCTGCTATTGTCAGTCTTGTATCATTATATGGCCTGCTATGGTCAGTCTTATACCATCTAAGGGCCTGCTATGGTCAGTCTTGTATCAGCTAAGGGCCTGTTACGGTCAGTCTTGTATCATCTAAGGGCCTGTTATGGTCAGTCTTGTATCAGTTAAGGGCCTGCTATGTTTAGTCTTGTATCAGCTAAGGGCCTGCAATGGTCAGTCTTGTATCATCTAAGGGCCTGTTACGGTCAGTCTTGTATCATCTAAGGGCCTGTTATGGTCAGTCTTGTATCAGTTAAGGGCCTGCTATGTTTAGTCTTGTATCAGCTAAGGGCCTGCTATGGTCAGTCTTGTGTCATCTAAGGGCCTGTAACGGTCAGTCTTGTATCATCTAAGGCCTGCTATTGTTAGTCTTGTATTAGCTAAGGGCCTGCTATAGTCAGTCTTGTATCATCAAAGGGCCTGTTATAGTCAGTCTTGTATCACTTAAGGGCCTGCTATGGTCAGTCTTGTATCATCTAAGGGTCTGCTATGTTTAGTCTTGTATCATCTAAGGGCCTGCTATTGTCAGTCTTGTATCATCTAAGGTCCTGTTACGGTCAGTCTTGTATCATCTAAGGGCCTGCTATCGCCAGTCTTGTATCATTTAAGGGCCTGCTATGGTCAGTCTTGTATCATCTAAGGGCATGCTATGGTTAGTCTTGTATCATCTAAGGGCCTGCTATGGTCAGTCTTGTATCATCTAAGGGTCTGCTATGTTTAGTCTTGTATCAGCTAAGGGCCTGCTATGTTTAGTCTTGTATCAGCTAAGGACCTGCTATGTTTAGTCTTGTATCATCTAAGGGCCAGTTATAGTCAGTCTTGTATCATCTAAGGGCCTGTTAAAGTCAGTCTTGTATCATTTAAGGGCCTGCTATGGTCAGTCTTGTATCATCTAAGGGCCTGCTATGTTTAGTCTTTTATCATCTAAGTGCCTGTTACGGTCAGTCATGTATCAGCTAAGGGCCTGCTATGTTTAGTCTTGTATCAGCTAAGGACCTGCTATGTTTAGTCTTGTATCATCTAAGGGCCTGCTATGTTTAGTCTTTTATCATCTAAGGGCCTGTTACGGTCAGTCTTGTATCAGCTAAGGGCCTGCTATGTTTAGTCTTGTATCATCTAAGGGCCTGCTATGGTCAGTCTTGAAACATCTAAGGGCCTGTTACGGTCAGTCTTGTATCATCTAAGGGCCTGCCATGGTTAGTCTTGTATCATCTAAGGGCCAGTTATAGTCAGTCTTGTATCATTTAAGGGCCTGCTATAGTCAGTCTTGTATCAGCTAAGGGCCTGCTATGTTTAGTCTTGTATCATCTAAGGGCCAGTTATAGTCAGTCTTGTATCATTTAAGGGCCTGCTATAGTCAGTCTTGTATCAGCTCAGGGCCTGCTATGTTTAGTCTTGTATCAGCTAAGGGCCTGCTATAGTCAGTCTTGTATCATCAAAGGGCCTGTTATAGTCAGTCTTGTATCACTTATGGGCCTGCTATGGTCAGTCTTGTATCATCTAAGGGTCTGCTTTGTTTAGTCTTGTATCATCTAAGGGCCTGCTATTGTCAGTCTTGTATCATCTAAGGGCCTGTTATGTTTAGTCTTGTATCAGCTAAGGGCCTGCTATGGTTAGTCTTGTATCATCTAAGGGCCTGCTATGGTCAGTCTTGTATCATCTAAGGGTCTGCTTTGTTTAGTCTTGTATCATCTAAGGGCCTGCCATGTTTAGTCTCGAATCATGTAAGGGCCAGTTATAGTCAGTCTTGTATCATCTAAGGGCCTGCCATGTTTAGTCTTGAATCATGTAAGGGCCAGTTATAGTCAGTCTTGTATCATTTAAGGGCCTGCTATAGTCAGTCTTGTATCAGCTAAGGGCCTGCCATGTTTAGTCTTGTATCATCTAAGGGCCTGCCATGTTTAGTCTTGAATCATGTAAGGGCCAGTTATAGTCAGTCTTGTATCATTTAAGGGCCTGCTATAGTCAGTCTTGTATCATCTAAGGGCCTGTTATAGTCAGTCTTGTATCATCTAAGGGCCTGTTATGTTTAGTCTTGTATCAGCTAAGGGCCTGCTATTGTCAGTCTTGTATCATCTAAGGGCCTGCTATGGTTAGTCTTGTATCATCTAAGGGCCTGCTATGTTTAGTCTTGTATCAGCTAAGGGCCTGCAATGGTCAGTCTTGTATCATCTAAGGGCCTGTTATAGTCAGTCTTGTATCATCTAAGGGCCTGCTATTGTTAGTCTTGTTTCCTCAAAGGGCCTGTTATAGTCAGTCTTGTATCATCTAAGGGCCTGTTATCGATTGTGTTGTATCAGCTATGGGCCTGTTATGATCAGTCATGTATCAGCTAAGGGCCTGCTATGGGCAGTCTTGTATCATCTAAGGGCCTGCTATTGTTAATCTTGTTTCATCTAAGGGCCTGTTACGGTCAGTCTTGTATCAGCTAAGGGCCTGCTATGGGAAGTCTTGTATCATCTAAGGGCCTGCTATGGACAGTCTTGTATCATTTAAGGGCCTGCTATGGTCAGTCTTGTATCATCTAAGGGCCTGTTATAG